CACCACTCCTGAGACAAGCCAGGATGCCGCTGGCCCTCTTGGCCACCTGGGCACCCTGCTGGCTCATATTTGGCCGCCTGTCGACCAACCCCCCCAGGGCCTTTTCCGCCGGGCAGCTTTCCAGCCCCTCTGCCCCACGCCTGGGGTTGTGGTGACCCCAGGGCAGAACCTGGCCCTTGGCCTTGTTGAACCTCATACAATTGACCATGCAATGCCCAACAAGAGACGACTGCTCCTGGACTTCATCTGCCAAGTGAAACCTCCTCTGTGACTCTCAACCTCCACCTAACATCTCTTGAATTAAATTCTTGCAGAAGGCTGATCCCACCCATTCTGGCAAAACCCAGCTGCAGAGAGAGCTGTCTGGGCACTGTGGGGATTTACAGGGGCCAAAGCTCCTGGTAGCATGATGAATTTGATAGCTGATCTGTTTGGTTGTATCTCCACGGACTTGGTCGGTAGCTTCTCCCAGGCTGCTCCTGTTGAAGACCAGAAGAAGTTGCTAGGTTAAGTAATTAATGAATGAATCTCTAAGGAATTAATCTCCCATCCCAGAGACCACGTTTTTTCTGGTTCACCCAGCAACTGGAGCCACCAAACCAAGAGGTTTTACTCCACTTGTTGGAGTGAAACTACTTGTTCTTGGAGGCTTCTCACCTTCCTTTACAGACACCAAGAGAAGAAGGTTTCCCAAGCCTAACCACGGTGCCCATGAAGAAGTACGTGTTTTGTTTTCCATTGCAATTTACCTGCCGCTTGCTCCCCTGCCTGGCTTTTGCTGTGCTTTTCTCTGGCAACATAACGAGTCTTTTAGGACTCACTCATCTCAGCTGATGAATTTATTGCAAACTGTGATCAAGTTGCCTTGAAAAGGGCCTGGCAAGAATCAGAGCAGCTCTAATTCCTTCACTCTCATCCCGAGGCAGATTTCTCCAGCTGTCAAATGAGTTTTGTGCCTTTTTGCTGCACTTGATCTCCCAGCAATGTCTTTCAGATGCAGACGTGGTGAATGCCCACTGCCCTGCAGCATGGGATGGAGAACCACTTCATAGAATCATAGAATCATAGAGTCACAGAGTCATAGAATCGTAGAATGTTTAGGGTTGGAAGGGACCCCTAGAGGTCACCCAGCCCAACCCCCCTGCAGGAGCAGGGACACCTTGAACCACATCAGGTTGCTCACAGCCCCGTCCAACCTGGCCTGGAATGGTCCCAGGGATGGGGCCTCCACCCCCTCTCTGGGCAACCCCTGCCAGGGTTTCACCACCCTCATTGTAAAGAATTGTACCCAATTGTAAAGAATTTCTTCATGGTGCCCTGTGCCATGGGAGAAAGTTCCGCTTTGGTTTCAATTTTAAAAAATTTTCTAGCCCTTATGGTTGCCAAAACATGAAGACTCAAAAGCATAAAGCCAAAGAAATAGCTGCAAGCCCCAAAATTGCTAAGTTAGTCATCCCAAAATGCACTCTCTGAAAAGCTCCTCTTGATTTTCAGCCCAGGTTTTGGAGTCCCACCCCGGGGTGAATGCCATGCGGACGAAAGGCTGGCACGTGAACAACTTTAGCTCATGGATGTTACAGCAGCACACCCAAACTTTTCCTGCAATGACTTCTCTGTAGCTCCTGTGAGTCACTTGAACCCAAGAATGAGAATTAAGCAAGAATAATATCCCTTGACGGGGAACACAGAGAACGTGCGTTCACTTCAGAGAAACAAACAAACAAAAAATACCCCAACCCCCCAAACCACTTTTTCTAAATAACTCTTAGCACTGGGAGCAGGAAGAGCAAGTTAAGAGCGCTGAGGGTTTCCTGCCAAGCAAACGAACCGGCCACGTGGGCTGGAGGGATGCACATTTCCGCTAGACCTTCCCAGCATCCCAGAACAGGGCTTTTCCTTCCCGACCGTGCCCTTCTAGGAAGCAGACCCTTGACCTG